CCGCCGAGGGTTCGGATCCCACATACAGACCGGTTCCCGCTCACTGGCTGAGCGAGGTGTGGGAGCAACACCGAGGGTTGCGATCCCGTTGCCGGTCCTGGTCCAGTACAGGGGCAACACTGAGGGTTGCGATCCATTGCCGGACACGAAAAAAGACAAAAAGGAAAAAAAAAAAAAAGAAATAAGCCAATTAAGAATTGAGTTATTCTTATAATTGACTTATTCTCTTATTATATAAGGCAAAACTACCCTTTTCAAAAGTGAATAATAAATGAAGACATTCCCAGTCCTCCAAAAAATCCTAAAGGGAGTCCATCAGGCTTAAACAAAAGGTCACCAGACAGTAATTCAAAGAAATAAAGATCACTAGCAAAGGCAACTACATAGGTAATTATAATAGACAGTGTAAATGTTCTTTGTTTTTTCACTTGCAGCTACTTTTTCTCTTGCACCTGATTTAAAAGACACATGCTTAAAAAAATAATTATAAACCTGTGTGGAGGGGAACACGGCACGTAAGGTGTGATTTGTAACCACAACGGTATTAAGATGGGGCTGGGGGAATGGTGCCATATTGAATGGAAGTTTTTGTATACTACCAGAATTAAGCTGATGTTAATCTGAGATGGTGATCTTCTAATGTGCATGTGTAAGGGGAGGTACTATGGGATAGGGAACTCGATTAGTGGTTTTCAGAATTTATTCTTTGTATACTTCAGACATGTGCATGGGGAGGGCGACATGGAGTCTCTTGTCTCTGCTCCAACCTGAGGGTACTCTTCGATTTTGTTCATAAATTTGCTTCCCTATATTCCTTTACTTGAAAAAATATTTTCATAGCTCATCAGATATTTTGAAAACCACAACAATCCCAAGAGCCTTTATGTGCCGTGCTGTTCTGATAGCCTATGAAATGGTGGTTTTTAAAACATGTCCATAAATTCCTTTACATTCCTCCCACTGAGAGGTATGCTCTGTATTCCCTAGCCTTGCACCTGGGAGCCTTAAGCCATCATGAAAAATACCTAGCCATGTGCAGAGGCCACTGTACAGCTGACAGAGAGAGAGAGATGTCTGAGGAGCTCCATCTGATCCAACGTCCCTCTGTGTTCAGTCCTTGCAGCCCAGACACCAGACATCCAGTGAAGACCTTGTGATGACTACAATCTTAGCCCTCATCTAACTGCAAAGACATAAAAGACTCTCAGCGAGCACTGCCTAGCTGAGGCCAGTCAGCCCTCTTATTCAAGAGGAAAATACATACTTGTTATTGCTTTAAGTCACTGTTTTCAGATGGGAAGTTACATGACAATAGATTACCAAAACAGATGCCACAATTTTAGGTGCTATTATTCTAAGATTACTGAATTCTATTTTTTCTCCTAATGTTCTGTTATTCTATTTTCTTCTGGGCTTTAGAAAGACACCAGGATTTAAGACAGTGAAGAATCTTTGAGTCCATTGGAGAGTGCAGCCAAAGTTTTAGCGCCTCTTTCTGGACTTGGGACTTCGGGATGCTGCCTGAACAGGAAAATGGGGAAATCCCTTGTGCCTCCTTGGCTTTGGCATCCCTGCTTTCATTCTTTTTCTACAGCCGTAGATCACATACTGTGGTCTGCCAGGGCATAGCCCCCACCTCATCTCCTGCTCCTGGTCTTGGGTGAGTAACAGACCAGCCTCAACCTACGCTCTCTCCTCTCATTTCCTAGCATCCTCCTCAGCCCCAGAGCCTGCACTGACACAGCAGATTTGTTACTCCACCCCGTGATTCATTCAGAATAACAAAGCCCTCTCACCCTGCCCCCTTTCTCTCTACTTCTGTTTACTTCCTACAAAAGGCAGAGACAGCCACCAGAGGAGCGGAGGCTGAGACCAACCCAGCAGCTGCCATCTCTCCCGCTGAAGCTCGCCTCCTCACCCTCAGACATGAAGGTCTCCGCAGCGCTTCTGTGCCTGCTGCTCACAGCAGCCGCCTTCAGCACCCACGTGCTTGCTCAGCCAGGTGAGCCCCTGCCTCCTTCCCCTTGAAGCACATCACCCTGTCTCTGGGTTTTCATGGACTGTCCCAGCAGAAGGGGTACCCATGCTCTCACTTTAACAGCTGCTTTTCCAAGATAAGGCATCTCAGGGAAGGGATAAGGAATGAGCCCAATCACACAGCAGCTCCCCCCCAGGCAGAGCCTCAACTAGAATTCCAGCTGTGGACCCCAGATCCAGCCCTGGAAACACACCCTCAGTGCAGTTGCTGCCCCATTTGCTTTCAGCAGTGTTTGGGGGTTAGTGTAATCAAAGGGGGGGCCACTGGTGGTGGATGTGTGGAGTATTTCCAGATATGGGGGAGGGGAAAGGAGGAAACCCAGAATCTGGTCTGTGCTTCATTCAGTCCAGCTTTCAGGGACAGCGGCTCTGCAGAGGCTGTCAGTATCAGGGACGCTCACACCCAGGCGTACATTGCTTGGAGCCTAAAAGGGGACCCATAGCTGAGATCCCCTTGCCCTAAGGAATTGGATTATTATATTAGCCCCTCCTAGCAACACCCAGAGTCTCATCAGTTCCTCTCCCCTCTGTCAATTAGTGATGGTGCATTCTTATTTTATAGTCCCTGAAAGTGAGAGAGAATTGAATGAATGCCTCAGAGGGGAGAGACATTGAACTTGCAGTGGGCAGCTTCTCCCTCCGCCTTCTTTCTCTCTGACTCCTCCTTCTTACCATTCCCTACTTTACAAATAGAAAGACCCAGAACTTCTAAAGAGCCTTTTCTTGTTGTTTCATTGCAGATGGGATTAACACCTCAGCCACCTGCTGCTATAAATTCATCAAGAAGAAGTTCCCTAAGCAGAGGCTGGAGAGCTACAGAAGCATCAGCAGCAGCCAGTGTCCCCAGCCAGCTGTGATGTGAGTGGACCAGGCCCACCCCTCTCAACCCTCAGTTCTAAGTCTTCCCTGGGCCAGTGGAGAGGACTATTACCAGACTGAGCTGGAATCAAATACTCAGAGACGGCTCAGACCATCTCTAAACCAATCCCAGAAATTTTCTAATGGGAAAACTGAATCCAAGAAAAGAAAGTGACTTCCCAGTCCCAGCTCCCTTTCCAGCCATCAGTTCAGTTCCTTCATCCAGGAGTCAAAGGGGCTTCACGTGTGCCAGCAAAAACAGCTGCTTTCCTGAGGCCCTTTCTTTCACCTGCCTTCTTCCTCCTCTGTCCCTGGGGCAGTCCCATTACCCTAGGATGATGGAGCAGGCAGGTTTCCCACTTAGCCGGTTACACTCCCTGGTTGAATCCTCAAGGTGCTCTATCTAACTGTGCCCTCTCTCCTCTACAGCTTCAAGACCATATTGGACAATGAGATATGTGCTGACCCCAAGCAGAAGTGGGTTCAGGATTCCATGAAGTACCTGGACAAGAAAACCCAGACTCTAAAGCTTTGAGCATTTGTGCCTCAGCTGAAGCCAAGCCAGTACTTGAGAAACAAATAATTTATATCCCTGTTCTTTCCAAAAGTTGTTCTGAAGTTATCATGTTATAATTCTAAGGAACATGAGCTTTGTGTAATAATGTGATCATAGTTATTCTTAAGAAATGTTTTTTAAAGTTGTTGATATTATAATTTAATCTGCCATGGATTTGGAGTAAAGCCTTCAACACATCACATCAGTTCAGACCCGTAAAAACTGCTGGATGCTCCTTCCCTCTTTATCTGGCTGAAGTGCTGTGAAGGTCCTTGCAAGAATCAATGCAAAGTTGTTGTTTTTTTAATTTTTAGAAGGTAATGTCCTTATAAAACCATAAAGTTATTTTAAAATTGAATATTTTTATATGTACTACTCTCGAGTTTTCATGTAAAATATAGTTTTGTATAAAACCTGACTTTGATGGCTTTTTGAAGGATAAGATAAAGCTGGAGGGGGTGACAGATGGTGGGGCTGGTGTTGTGGACGAATGAGTATGTGATGGACTGTGGGCTTTCCCCAAGGCTGGGCTCCCCTGCATGTCAAGGAGAGACAGTCAGGTGGGACCAGGCTGAGCCAGATCCACAGCTCCAGATCTGATGTCAGCTTCAGGCATGGTTCAAATGCCTTCCTTCCTGCTACTGTGCTGAACTCTTTTATCACCTCTAAGAGTTTTTTTGTAGATGATTTGGGCTGTTCGATATATAGGATCATGTCATCTGCAAACAGGGACAGTTTGACTTCATCCTTTCCAATCTGGATGCCCTTTATTTCCTTCTCTTCTCTGATTGCTCTGGCTAATACTTCCAAAACTATGTTGAATAGGAGTGGTAAGAGTGGGCATCCTTGTCTGGTTCCTGTTCTTAAAGGAAAAGCTTTCAGTTTTTCCCCATTCAGGATGATATTGGCAGTGGGTTTATTATATATGGCTTTGATTATGTTGAGATACTTTCCATCTATACCTAATTTATAAAGGGTCTTTGTCATGAATGAGTGTTGGATCTTATCAAATGCTTTTTCGGCATCAATAGAGATGATCATATGGTCCTTACATTGTTGGTGGGAATGCAAAATGGTGCAACCCCTACGGAAAATGGTTTGGAGGTTCCTCGAACTGTTGAAGATGGATCTACTATATGACCCAGCTATCCCACTGCT